CGATTAAAATAGGATTACAGCTCTGCTTTCGCCTTCCTAATGACATCAGAGCATGACACATTTTGCGACTTTTTTTCCAGTTTTTTTGCCCGAGCCCACTACTTGTCGTAACCAGACAGGCACCGATGATTTGGAACCCCCACCCCCCCTAAAAAAAACAGGAAAAAAACTCATCCGTGCAGCAGGTCAGCCCATCTGTGTGGCTGTTGACATTCGGATTAACCTTATAATGCAGCACACATCCTGTATCAATCCTTGACATCAGACTTTTCAATGACATGTGAAAAAACCCTAGTATTCAGCGTCAGGTTGTTGATTGCTGAACATGGGAAACCCTTCATTAAATCGCAGATACCAAAGCAAACGTGACCCATTGCTTTTGGCCACATTTCATGGATGTAAAGCCATGAAATATTAAACACCGTCACAAAGCGACCCTGCACATGCTGTATGTATGTAGTGATGTGGAATTTGGGTCGGAAGGGGGCAGATCAATACCAATCTTTTGTCCTGATTGTCCTGATTGTCCTTCAGGGGCATTCTCCTGCAATGGTTAAACGCTGTAAGGTCAAACATGGATTGGATTTTTTACGATAGCTAAGCTCATGACCCCAGCTAAGAAATCTACTTAAGATAATATATTCTACTTAATACACAATGAAGCTTAACAGTTAAATCTAAAATGCTCTTGTAGTTCCTGTAAAAGTCTCAGTGTGTACTGGTGATTTAAAAAAAGCACGCAAACAATTTGGTTTTTTATCATTCCGATTTAAGCGTTGTGGCAAACCTTTGATACTCAAATGTATCCTGGCAAAAACACATATTTACCTTCTCTCTACAACAGATTTAAAGTAATCCGTCCTGAGAGTACTTTACCTGTAAGCAGGAGACGATACATATTAATGTTTCTGTTATTTAAATGTTGAGTTTTGTGACATTTTGGATTCATATACTTTCAGCATATTACAGTTTCAGGGAAAAAGTCTGAAATGTTGCTCGCAGGAAACCCCTTCTTCACTTTGAGACTTGAAGTGCAGTTAAGTTAAGTTTTTAACTGTGATATAGCAGTACTGCATTTGTTTGGCTGTCAGTCCATCCACAACTTTGGTCCAGACTGGACGCATAGCCGTGAAATTGTGTACAGTGAATGAATCCAAACTTATTTGGTGCAGACCCTGGCATTCGTTTTTTAAAACAAAAAATCTCTCAACAAAGATTGTACCAAACCTCATGGCTATCTATCCAAACATTTGGCTTCCCTTAAGGATTTATTTTAATACCGGTTCACAATAATTTGGTGGGTATAGAGGGGCTGCTTGGACTTCCCTTTATGTCCATATACGGACCACCAGTGAAAGCCGGGTCTCACTTTCACTCTGTAATCAGCTCCAGCACTCAGTGATCAGACCTGCCTGTGGATTATCAATTTGGTAATCTCTTGAGAGCCACTGATGAATATTCCCATCCTCCCCTGATTTTCAGAATGGTCTCTTCCACTTTGAACAATCTTGCTTTTGTGCTACCACTTAGACCATTTGTCTACTGGAATACATTCACTGTTTTAATAGCCTCTTTAATTCACCCAATGGTGGCTGTTTCCATTTTGTTTTGCTGACCGCTTTTTCCTAAGGGGCAGGTGGTCTGTCTGTCCAAGCCTCTTTGTACAGACTTGTGCTGCTGGTGGTGTTGGTGGTGTTGGTGGTGGTGGTGGTGGGGGGGGGGGGGATTGCTAATATGAGGCTTTCAACATCTAATCCGGAGCAAGTCTCTTAGAAAAGGCTTATCTTGGGACCCTCCAATTTCACTGCTTTCTTCATGACCAAACTGCCCTTTATTTATTAACACAAATTACATTTAAAGCCTTGCTTCAGTCAATTGTCCATTCGTCTTTACCGGAAAACCGTGCTTGGTTATCATCATCCCCACTGCCCCTGCCCCATTGCTGACAAATCCATACAACTATGTGGGACACAAAGGCTCGGATTTAGCTGCCAGGCCAAAGCGAGGGTGGGCTGTGTGGGGGGGGGGGCAGGGCCAGCATGGACATTTCTGTTGTTTTTGTCACAGTACAGATTTCAGACAAATCAAAACCCTTTCCTCTACCCCCCACCCCCCCCCACACCCCAACCCACATGACCTGTAACCAGTCATCACTTTTATGCTGGAAATGCAGCCAGATCAGGAGTGGGGTGGCGCGACGGTGCGCACAGCGGGGGCCATTGTTGAAAAAGAGCTGACCGGGTCCTGGACAGGAGATCATTTGATAGGCAAAAATATTGACTTCTGAACAGCTGGGGTCACAGGCTCTTATGATGATGATGATGAGTACTGAGATGCATGCTTTGTGAAGGTATCGTTTAACATAAATTAGCTTTGTGACACTTGTCTGGGGCCAGGTGTATCCACAAGGTCAACACATCTAAAAAAAATAACCCTAACTCAGACTTGTGCAAATGTTTCAGTTTATTTTAAGATGAAACGTCTTTTTTGTCATATTGTTGTTTCCCTAAACTGTCAAATGTATGAAGATATTCGCTATATTAACTAGCTGAGTAGCTCTCCTTGTGATGAGTATATCCAATATCACGTCATCCAGCAAAGGAATGGCCCCTAAAAGGAATAATTAACCAACTCACCTTGTGCTACCTTGTATTATTGTTGTGCTAACTTTATTTCTTCAAGGATACAAGGAAACACGGTGAGTCTTTACACAAATAATATTTTTGGGGATGCATTATTTCTCAAATTCAAGTTTGTTCAGTGACAAAACCCCTGCCTCACTGACCAGTCATCCCAACCACATGATTGATGACCTTGCCTTAAATATTCATTCAACAATTTAACCCTCATTTTAATCTGCTTGACATGACAGCCATCAGTGAGGACAACATGCCGATAGACCATAGACCAGATCATAAGTATGCCAAGAAGAAGCTAGGAAAATGGCGAGCCAACCCCTTGTGTCCCCTATAAAATATCTAAATATTGCTTAAAGGAACTTATTTTAATTCCTAAATTAAAGCTATTAGCAAATTAGCTAATGTGGCTTGAACCCTCTGGACCAATATGAATCAAATTGGATAGTCGTCACAAAATATTGGACTATTGATAATCTGAGGTTACTCAAGTCAATTCTGTCGTCCTCTGTGTTTCCTGTTAGGTAACAAGAGGAAACTCCAGTGAGGAGGAGAGGAGCTATCAATGAGGTCAGTAAATCATGATTTATTATACAGCAGGAGGGCATTAGTGTCACACGGACTTTGTCCCACTGTAGAGAGATTGCGTGTCTGCGTCGGGCTCGGCCTGTCGACTAATGCTAAGTGGTTGCGTGGCTTTATTTGACATGGGGGGCCAACATGGCATCCCCCGGGGCTGTACTGTGATGGTTGTGTCACATGAAGGCTTTGATTGGTTGATATACCCAAACTGAAGATAAAAGGCACATCATGCATGACCTTTATTTCCCATTTGGTATTGGAACCAAAAATGTCCAAGAAATCAAGCAAGATATTAGTTATACTTCAACAATTTGGGAATTGCCAGAGTAAGAAGAGACAATCCAAACCTCTTTCATACGAAGCTTGAGCCAAAGGCTAGCCTAGCGTAGCATCGAAACTGAAAACTGTTAGACTGGCTCGGTCAAATCACAACCCAATCCAAAATGGACACATTACATGTTATCTTGTTTGTTTATTTAGTTAGTACTGGGAATGCAGAATATATATCAGGACCTATAAACTATAAAATCAGCAGATGACATTTTTATTAATATATAGTCCTATTATTTGTAGTTAAAATTAAGCCAAATGGCTTTCATTGATTTAACAATGGCAACTTTTACAGACCCTTAAAGAGTCAGTCAGAACCCTAACCCTTTTTTGTGTGGTGATTTCAGATTTGATTAGGTCACATTTTTAAAAGATCCATGTCAGAAACAGAAGAGCGTAAACAACGTTTTCCAGGAAATCCCTGAATCTGCAAAAAAAGACCCCAACACACAACCCACCCAAACCTAAAATGTGTACTTTTAATACTTATTTAATGAGGAAATAAATCAGTAATCGTTAGCGATCTTTACAAAGGCTGGTGGATATTGTGTTACTTTTCAGACCGAGCCAAGCTACTGTAGCTCCTCTCCAAAAAATGATGCTAAAAGATAACTGGCTTTTTAAAAACAATGTAAGCATATCGGAGCATCAGTCCTCTTATGCAACTCATGGCATTTCGTTAAAATGCAAATACAAAAAAATAAAATGTATACCCTAATTGAGAAGATGAATAATTATTACATGGAAAAGAAAATCAATGATGCTGCACCTTAACGCTGCAGCACGTAACCTTGAAATGACCTATAAGACGAACACATGAAGCAGGTCCACCTGTTCCGTCGTCACAGGCATAAAACAAAGAAATCAGTGGAAAGGCTGCCTTTGCTGTGTAACCACGGCAACTCCTCCCTCAAAATGCAACATCACCAAACCCCCCCCCCCCCCCCCCCCCACCCCCCCTCTCTCCTAACGCGTGCAGCGAGCAGGGAGGATGCGCTGTCTGCCGCTTACCTGGCTTTAGTTTAAAAAAAAAAATCAAGCTGTTCACGTGGTCAGCCCAGCCCAGCACAATATTCTGCCACATTAGCAAGGTCTTTTCGAGCGGGGGGGGGGGCAGTTTTTTTTTCCTCCTCTCATCCGACACAGGAGGGATGCTGCTGCTGTGAGGGAGAGAGGTGAGCGCAGTTGGAAAAGCGTGTTTTTTTTTTCTCTCTCTCTCTCTCTCTCTCTCTCTCTCTCTCTCTCTCTCTCTCTCTCTCTCTCTCTCTCTCTCTCTCTCTCTCTCTCTCTCTCTCTCTCTCTCTACCAAAGCTCCTCCTCTGCCGTAGGAGAGCACAAACCGGTCACATTTTTTTTTGCTGAATGAGAGCAAGAGGGCACGGGAGAGGATTTCCTAATTTCTACCTGGTGCTGTGCCGTGCGGCTGTTTCCTCGCCTCTGTTCAAGGTAAGGCACGCCGCACCATGCGCCTCGCCACGGGGACTGATGTTGGGCTGTTTGGGTCGCAGAGGATGATCCAGCTGGAAGGGCGAAGGCACAATTGAAGGGCAGACAGGCAGAAGAGTTGTCAGTGTGGAACAGGCAGTGCAGGCTGCGCATCATTTAAAAGTCAAACAGGAGGACAGGATGTGTGTGTTTCTGTGTGTTTCCTGAGCAGCAGCGTCATAGCGTTTACCACTGACTGCAGGCAAGTGATGACAGTAAACCGTCGGCCTTCGTGGTGTTTTTCTCATGTGAAAGCAGCAGGTTTCCCGATTGTAAGTTGTCACATTTGAACAGTGGGATAGTTAAAGCAGCAGGATGATCTGCGCAGACGAGCTTCTCTGTCTGTTTGCTGCATCGTGCGTGTGGAATCTGATGAATTTGTAAATTGGCGTGTGAGGGAAACCACTGAAAACACTTAATGTTATGCAGCTTATGTAAGTGGCCATACAGTGACCACAAGGACAATGCAGCTTAAATTAGAGGTTAATGCTAAAATGTGTGTATGTTATGTTCATTTCAGAAAATATATTTTCCATAATGTATGTGTTGTGTTAATTAGAGAGTTCCATTTCAGAATGCTATGAGAGAATACAAAAACTATGGGATGATTTTTAAAACTCAAAATGTGCCTTTTTTATGCCTGCATGTCATTTTAACTGGTAATTAACTATTTAATTTTTATTTCTGAGTATCTATGATCCTTTTCTTCTGGCAGTGGTCAGGACAGTGATTTGTAACTGACAACAACAACAACAATCATTGGTTGATTTAGAAATTGTGTATATATAACTACTACCAACATTACTGTTGTTTTTTAAATTCATTTAAAGGTTAACAATAGATGACAATCAATCAGTTAATCACCCTTTGTTTAAAAATCTTGAAATCTTTCAACTTTGTTTATTCAATAACCAAGCAGCCTTTTTTAATTTAGTTATATTTTGATGTTATCGATGTTAATTTTCTGCATTCTGTTGACATTGTCCAGCAGAGGCTAATATGAGGACATCATTTGGCAAACCAGACCCTGGAAAGCACCTGCAATCTTTTCCCCTTGTTTGAAACTGAAGACAACATCATGTGTTGTCCCCGGTAAAACCCGCCCAGACATTCAGAGTGAGGACCCCACGCGCTGCTCAGACATGGGCTCAGATCAACCCGGCATGCATTCACTAGAGAAAAGGCCGGCGTCGGACGCCGCCTGCAAGCGGCACGCCTACCGCTGTCTGAGGAAGAAGCTGAGGCCAGTGCGGATCGTAGGGTTCGTCCTCAGCCTGGTGGCCCTAAGTGCTGTCTCCTTCAGTGCCTTCACCTGGAACTCAAGGGGGGTCAGTGAGCCGGTGCTCCCCCAGGAGTCGGCCCCCCACAGGACTCTTCTTTCCACCCAACACCAGAGGGACGCCAATGTCTCAGCCGACATGCCACTAGCCATGAAATCTACAGCAGGGAACAACGAGAGCAGTGGGGATTACCCTCCAGACCTTTTCACCCTTCAGGAGAGGCGCCAAGGAGCGGTGGTCCTCCACATGTTCGGCATGATCTACATGTTCATCGCCTTAGCCATAGTGTGCGACGAGTTCTTCGTCCCTGCGCTGACCGTCATCACGGAGAAGCTGACCATTTCCGATGACGTAGCGGGCGCCACCTTCATGGCGGCTGGCGGCTCGGCCCCAGAGCTCTTCACCTCCATTATCGGGGTCTTCATCTCACACAGCAACGTGGGCATCGGGACCATTGTAGGCTCGGCCGTCTTCAACATCCTCTTTGTGATTGGGATGTGCGCCATCTTCTCCAAGGAGATCCTCAACCTGACTTGGTGGCCCCTGTTCCGCGACGTCTCCTTCTACATCCTGGATCTGATAATGCTCATCATCTTCTTCCTGGATAACTTCATCTCCATTTGGGAAAGTATAGCGCTGCTGTCCGCCTACGCCGCCTACGTGATCTTCATGAAGTGCAACAGCACGGTGGAGAGATTTGTCAAGGGTTGCATGCACAAGAACCAAGTGGTAGAAGTAGAAGTACAGCCAAAGGTGAGTTGATTTCTTGATCCATACTGTTTTTCTCACACTTCCTTTCATCACCATCTTCTCTGAAAATACTACTTTATTTGAAATGTCATATAAGAAAGTTGCAGTAATGAGTATTAGCATGTTCGCTAATAGAACTGATCTTCCGTAGATACTCACACTCATCCTTTCACACAAATGCAGCCAATTTATTTTGATTTTCTTTGTTGTTCTCATCAAGTTAGTGAGCTTTTTCAAATAAGACTTCTAACACACAGTACGCAACAAGCAATGTCAAACAGGTTATACAACATCGACTTATCACAAACATGTTCATTACTTCGGAATGAAAAGTCAGAAACTCAGTAGGTGTTATGTACGGTGTAATTTCACCCACTAAATTGACCATTGTGCAGTAATGCAGTTTAATAGATTCTGCACAGGGCTGACTTACAGTTCTCCACCGTGGGATTAATAAAACAAATGTGTAATTCTGGGATAAGCTCTACAAATTGTGTCCCGTTCTGACAAACAAATCCCTTGGAAAATCTCAGGCAATTTTTTCCCAACAAATTTACAGTAGATTTCCCACAATGATGCGGTTTTCACATAGTTGCTTGAACATGTAAACCACATGCAGCCCATTGAGGTGAACCACATGGCTTCAGGACTGTCACGGTTGTCTTGTTGGTTCAGTGCGGAGGTTTTTCAGTGAAATATTTTACTTTTTGCTCAACAGCACAAACGGTGAATACTCGGTAGACAAGAAGCGTAAAAATCATTACCTCTCGTAACATTCGCCCCCTCAATGACACTTAAGGGCAACAGACACTGCAGTGCAATTTGATACCGGTGTAGAGATTATCCAGACGGATTTAGATTTCTTTGTGACATGAGATGGAAATGAAATTTTGCAAAAGTTGTATTGTAAAGCTTTAATTAAATTGGGATTTATTCTGAGTGCATAAAGGATATTTAAACAGCAGGTTTCACAATGTTGGAAGGGGGAGGGCTCTCGAAGAAGGCAACATCGACATTGGTTTTGCAGTGTGGAAACAGAAATGCTAAAATGAAAGCAAGCATAACAGTAATTATTGTCTATAGCCTCGGTTCTGGTGAGTCATTTGATTTATGGCTCCTGTGCAGGAAGAGAGTGAGAACGGAGGTGCACAGGCAGAATGCCAGAAAAGACCCAGGTGACCTTGAGCTGCAATGGATTCTGGGTACTTAGGTGTGTGTGTGTGTGTGTGTGTGTGTGTGTGTGTGTGTGTGTGTGTGTGTGTGTGTGTGTGTGTGTGTGTGTGTGTGGTGTGTGTGTGTGTGTGTGTGTGTTGTGTGTGTGTGTGTGTGTGTGTGTTGTGTGTGTGTGTGTGTGTGTGTGTGTGTGTGTGTGTGTGTGTGTTGTGTGTGGTGTGTGTGTGTGTGTGTGTGTGTGTGTGGTGTGTGTGTGTGTGTGTGTGTTGTGTGTGTGTGTGTGTGTGTGTGTGGTACTTTAGATGGGGGAAAAAATAGTGCGAGGCAGATGAGTCAATCAAACCCCATCATGTCTCTTCTCCGACGACGCTTTAAGATGCAGACCCTTCTCTCCCCTCTTGCATTGTGGGTAACAATGTCACGGCAGCCCCTCCCAGCACCCTGCATTAAAAACATAGAATACATTAAATATATTAATAAAACATGTACAACGTTACAGGATAAAGCTTTTATTTTGCTTGCTAGGTTGTCAGCTAACCTCTTTTGTACTCTCTGGGTTACAGGGTTAATAGAACTAGAAGAGTACAAATATTATTAGAATATAATCATCAAAACACCCTTTTTTTTCTTAATCAAGCTTGGACACTTTGGGGACGTGTGTATTTCAAGACGCGTGGGTTATTTTAAGATTTAATTGGCAATTTAGTGTGTGTGTTTGCACACATTCTTACATGACTAATGGAGGGTAAAACAGGAGAGCAAGGACAAGTGTCCTGCAAAAAATGATCGAGAACTTTCTACTGTCTTTCTATTTTTAAGGGATATTCACTACTATGAACTGAAAGAAGCTTTTTTAATATAAGTTAATCATTTCACAGTCATGCTGAGCTCCAAGGTGTCCTTAATCCTCCACGCAGTAGTGTTCAGGAGTGAAGTATTGCATTGTAAGGACCATAGAGTGTTATATGACGCCATGCCCTTGAACGAAACACTTGATTAAAATGGGCTTCCCTGAGATTATTGTATGCATTATGATATTGGGACGTCCCAGTTGTGTGTTACATTGCTGCTACAGGCAGAAACAGAAGTGGTGTTATGGTGTCAACCTCAGAACAAAAGTGCGTAGGTTAGAAATTGGCAGTTGGCCATCCAAACTATATGATGATGTAAGATTTTAATCTGAGAGCAATAAGGAGCGCCTTTTTCTAATGTTAGCAGATGATTTAAATATGCTTCATCAGTGATTATCAGCCTCATGAGTCGGATTGTGTTGTTCATAATTGTAGAAGCTGCCTTTTTTCCCCACTGCAGAACTGCTTCTAATGCGTTTTTCTTTTTTTATTAACATGAAAAGTTTAGTTTGTGCGACTTGTTTGTTCTGCTCCTGGTAACATAAAAATAGCTGGCTTTGTTTCTCTTATTTCCTCGATGATATTGCTTCCAGGCAGAGCGTTAAATGGTGGGAGGAGGACTTGCTTTTCAATCATTTGACAGATCAGAGGTGTCATTTTTCCTATTGCCCCTGGACGAGCTGTAACATCATCAATACAACACGAAGAGAACTCTCGTTGTGTGGATGCTATTTAAAGCTATTGTTTTAAAGCACTTCGATGTTCAGCCTCCATAAAAAGTAATCTGCAATAATCTCTCTCAATCCAGTTAACACTACCATGAATGTGCCATGCACTTAGACACACTTGGAATTACAGCGAAATAGGAAAGCAAAGGCTTTTAAGGCCACCTGATGTAGTCCCTTTGTTTTAGCTCAGTTTTGGTCTCCACTGCCTCTTGTATAGAAATGTCTGTTTAGCAGCTAACGCTCCACTGTGTTCAACTAGTGGCTAACTGTGGCTCTCTGATGCTAGGCTAGTAGCGTACAGTTGGATCTTTTTATTTTAAAATGTGATTTATCTATTTTTATCTTTCCCCCCAAACTGTTTTTGAAGGATATACAGTATGTACCTCTTAGTTCTGGCCTGATTGGTCAATCCCTTTCTTTCCCTAATGAGTGCTTATCTGCTGGTTAATCTCACACGTTGCTTTAGTCCACATTATCCCTTACTTAACAGAGGTAGTATTATATCAAAAACTCCTTTTTGTTAATCCTAAAATATTCAGGAAGAGACTTTTCAATGCTATAATTTGTATATTTGTGTTGCGTTTGCCTGCAGTATATGTAGCATGCTGGCTTTCTGACACATCTGTCATGTTAGTCCTCCCTCTGCATTAATGTCAAAGGGTGACTACACTGTCATACATCTTGGCCCTCAGAGCTACGAGGGTGGTCGGGTCAAAGATGGATTCATGTAACTGTATCTCTCCTCGTAATTGTTGCACGTTCTCTTACAGTTAAGCTTCTTAGTCTGGTGGGGTTGTCAGTGACTTAATGGTTGACTCGGGCCTATGCAAAAAAAGACTGATTACTTACCACTGGTTTGTGCAGAAGGCCCAAAGGAGGTCACCAATGAATGATTCCTTCTCCCCACCATCTGAAAACGCATACACTCCGTAAATCCTTACTCCACTGGCCGCAGGCACAGTTCAAGGTCGCAATAGAGCTAGCAGCTCGTACACAAGCTGGGAAAACATGGCGGTGCAAGATGGGGCAGTTTGAAAATCACTAGCTCCATGTTTTTCATGCCATTTTTCACTGAGAAACAACAGATGTGTGTGTGTGCTACATTTGGCTGTGCTGCATACTGATGGTGTTCCAGCAACTGAAGCAACCATTCGTCCAACCCTTTCTATTTATTTCTGTGTGCAAAAACACACATCGGTAAGCAAAGCCAATCAGAGCTGGCATCTTAACCACTTTCCATATTGAGTCCATTATAACACAATATAATGTACCCTTTTTACAGTTAACCTCTCTTTAAAGAGCTAAGTTTAGACCTGATTGTACAGTAGCCCTGAGGGTCAAAAGCCAACAACTACTTGAAATATATAACAAAGACAAAAATTCCAAGGAAAACGTCTGACGAGGAAAAAATCACAAAAGAGAATTTCAGAGACGCTATACTATTATGCGAAACAACACTTCACTTATCAACATCTAGTTTTTTCTTGTGAAATGTTGTGTTTTGACCCTCGGGGGCCACCATACTAAAATGGCTTGGATATATTAGGAGCAACAGTGCAGACTTGCTCTGGCTGTCATGGCATTAGTGGGGTCTTTCATCATATGCAGCACCCAGCCCCCTCCTCAGGTCCACCTCACCAGCTCTCCCCTGGCTTATCTTGTTATCTCGTGGCCTCTCATTGTTTCCTGATGGACTGACTGGCTGCTTTTGAAATACTGGCTGAGGCAGATCAGATTAGCCAGCACTTTGTACTCTATGGCTTTATGAAAGAGTGACGAGCTACTGACATCGTGACACACCGAAAGTCAGAGTTGGTCAGAATTGATGATAAAGTCATTTGAGTGACATCATCTGACAACACATCACAAACAACCAAACAACCACTGGTTGAAGAGATAACATAACCTTCCAACGTATAGTTAGTAGGTCAATTAAGTTAATCATATGACTCTGATGTACGTTTTATTAGGCGCAAATACACATTTGTAGTATATCACTATGTAACATTCACACTTCTATCAGCCAGCGCTCCAACACATTCTACGTGATAGACATATCTAAGCGGTTGAGCAATCACAACAGAGCCGGCCAGCTAACCAATCAGAGCAGACTGGGCTCTGGTTTTAGTCAGAGGGTGATAAGAGGTGCTGCAGCACATGCAGTATGAGAAAATAAAGAGCTTTTTGAACAGTAAAGCAAGAAAAAATGTCAGATTAGAGCCACAAAATACAAATATGAACCTGAAAATGT